TTAGGTATGAAATGTGTGTTCAGTTTTTAATATATTAAATTATTTTTTAGTGTAATTAATATTTTTAATTGACTAATATAGGATAATTTTTTCTTTAAATACTGAAAATAAATTTTGCTTTTCGTTTTGCTTAGTTTACTAAAATTCGCCTAAACGAATATTTATCATGAAAATTGAAAATTGCGATAACCTGTCTTTTATGCGAATTATTGAAAATAGTTTTATTGGGTTTATATACACTAATGATTTAATGTTATTCTTGACTTAACTGTTCTACTGCGAAAATTTCAAACGTCACAATATACTAAAAAATTTTTAATATTTTATGAAATTATACTTACAAATATTAAAATAGACAAATAAAAACCCCATTTCTATTAATTTATTTTTGAAGTGAAAACTTCTTTAGAATGGGAGTGATCTGAAAAGTAAATAAACGGTAACGCAGCTATGAAACGAAGCTATGTAACGAAACTGTGTAACGAAGCTATGTAACGAAGCTATGAAACGGCTGCTATACTAAATAATGAGAGAAAAAGAGACAAACATATAGGATTTAGCCTGCGAGAGAATGAGACGGAATATAGCTATACTGCATACTGCAAAGCGTGGACACGTATTCTTTCGATACTCGAAATGTTTGTAGGTACGAGCGATAGAAAGGTAAAAAAATAAACAGAGATAAGCACGTAGGTATTTGACAAAAGAATAAGGTACAAACGAATCGAAGGTCGTAATAAAGAAAGAAGGTGCGTGGTCAGTTTTTTTTTTTACCAAACGTGTCATCTTTTTCTATTCTTAAAAATGTTTCTATTTTATTGAAAAATTAATATTTAATTCTTTATATCGCAAATATTATAATGAATAATTATAAAATATATAGAATATAATAATTGTATTGTCTGCAATATTTTACAAAAAAAAATAGGGAAAAATGATTACGAGATGCATCAGAGAAAAAGTATTAGATAACACTATAAAATACATTAGGAGCAGCTGAAAAAATTATATTCAAAAGCAAGTAAATTACTGTCACATTTTTATTTTGCTTCTTCATAAAATATATTTCATTCATAAAGACAAAATATGTCTATTAAATTTAATTTTTATATGTTTTTATAAAAAATATACAAAGATTTGTTTTAACCCTGGAATACAAAAAATTATATTAATTATTTTAATATTTACGTATTAAAGAAATTTTCTCTTAATTTTTTAATCAAATAAAAACATTTTTAACAGGCTGAATACCCAGCGTGAATCGGTGGAGTTTACCACGTGGCCCAAAGTGAGACTCGTTGTTTATACAGTTCGATAAGCTGAGAGAGTGATACGATTCAATGCATTTTTTAAATTTTTCGTTGTTCAGACCTTTATTTAGACGAGAGTATTTAGAAAGATAAGTTTGTGATCCAAAGAATAAGGACAAAAAATGTTATAAATAATAAGGGTCTCGAAGTATGACAGGCTATGGAGTTTAAAAAGTATTTCTCGAAAAGATCTCTATTTGAATTTATACCAGAATTTTCGTTCAGCCCAGCAGTATATTCCATATGTTTTGCGTAACATCTTATTTCGTCATTCCTAAAATGTTTGTTTGACAGTCCAAAAATGTAGATGAAAACGACAAATTGAAAACCATAGTAAGAAATACAATTTTATAACAGAGTTTCAAAAAAAAAGATATTCTATATTAACTTATTTTACGACGAATTATATTTCCCTTGATAAAAATCCTACGATTTTGGTGCTATTTAAGACTATTGCATTCAGCATTTCCATTTTTATTGCTTGAATTTGAAAAAGTGTACTCTTTATCAGCTATTCCACCTAGAGAACATACGGTTGACGCTTATTATATATGGTAATAATATTATAATAAATAAATTTTATAATTATCTTACTCTTGATACTCTGCATTTGTCTCTTTCTCTCGAAACTTAGCTTTTTGAAAGATTGACTTCTAACACGTGTAATATGCACACATGTTTTATTTTAATTATTTTTTTTTTCTTTTTTTTTTTTGAATAAGCTGTAGATATTAATGAAAGAAAATATTTTGTTCAAAGATTAAGAATATTAATAATATTATTATAATTATTAATTAGCATTAGAAACTCGAAAGTTCATTGCCGCAAATACCAAATCTCGCCATTGTTCCCGTCCTTGAACGCGATTTTTCCATTCGCGGTCTTCGTACCTATTTCTTTTAGGTCTCTTCTAATATTATCCTCCCATCTACGTCTTGGTCTACCTAATGGTTTTTTCCCGTTTGGTATACCGACCAATATTTTGTGCGCCTTTCGATCCTGCCTTATAGTCGCCACGTGACCAGCTAATCTTAATTGGCGTGATTTTATGACGTTTATAATGTCCGGTTTGTTGTACGATCGATGTACTTCAACGTTATGGAGTTTTCTCCGTTCGCCCCTTTCCTCATCACGTTTTGCACCGAAGATTTTACGAAGAACTTTGTTTTCGAAAACCCTAAATTTCTTTTCGTCCCGTATCGTAAGCGACCACGATTCGCTACCATTAAGAACTACTGGCAGGATGATTGTCCTGTATATCCTGATTTTTAATCGCCTAGAATGCAACCGTGAGCTGAGTAATTTGTTAACCGAATAAAAACATGAATTGCCTAAATTGATTCTTTTCTTAAGTTATTCGTTAATTTCGTTCGTCTGGTTTATGATCGATCCTAAATACCTAAAGTTGCTGACCCGCTCACAAGTTTTATCCCGGACAACCAAATTTCCAGTACAAAGCTTATTCTGAACTTTATCGGTTATCATATATTGGGGTTTTTTCGCGCCTTTTTGCCGTCCCATATCTTTAGTATTATCTATTAATATTTTCGCGTTAAAAATTAATAACTCTTCATTGTCCCCTAACAAAGCAATATCGTCCGCGTATGTCAACAATTGTGTTGTACCGTTCAACTGTAGACTATCTTTACTTTTCTGCAATTCTTTGACAGTGAATTCCAGTACTAAATTTAACAAAAGGAGTGACAATGTGTCCCTCTGTTTTAACCCGCTATGAATACTAAAAGCTTTCGGCATTTGGTTGGCTATCCCTACTTTACTCCTAGTTTCTTTTAGGCAAAGTTGAACAAGGTTGACCAATTTTCTTGGTATCCCCTGTCGTATTAGGATTTGTAGCATTTTTTCTCGTTTTACCCAGTTGTACCCTTTTTGAAAATCTTTATAAAATTGATGTACCGTGTGGTTAAATTCCCACTTTTTCTCTAAGATCTGCCGAATAGCAAAAATTTGATCTGTAATCGATCTATTTCTCCTAAAACCGCACTGGTGATCTCCTATTATCTCGTCCGCATACGGTACTATTCTAGCTAGTAAGATGGATTAAGAATAATATAATTGTAATATAATTAGAATTTAATATAATTATAATATTTTTATAATGTAATAATTATATATCAAATATATATATATTACTATATATTATTACTATATATTATTATATATATATATAATAAAATCCCAATCAAACTTAAGAGTTTTCGAAACATATTGGTGCGAAACAAACGTTTGTAAAGCGTCGGACCCTTTGAGTGATCTCGGACATTGTCTCTTACGTTAAAATGTTATTGTTATCAGGAGTATTCGTTCATATCTGTATAAAGTGCTTTATGTAAGATAATACCAACACGATGGGGCGCTGCTTGAGAAATAAAAACACTGAACCACTAAAAATCACGAACCGTAAAGTTAACTCGTTGGTCAAGTGATTACAACTTCAAGTACATATCTCAAATAATTGATAACTTTTTAGGAACTAAAATTGAAAGATTATACTTCAGTATTTATTATCTAAGACTCGTAATAATGAAAAAATAAATGCAAATAGATAATTAGCCATAATAAAAGAAAGACTTTTTAAAGTATTTTTCTGCAATTTTTTGTGTAATAGAGAAAAATAAATGTAACATCATATATAATAATTTGAAAAAAATTATTAATAAAATGTTTATTTATTTCTAAATTTTATAAATAAGAATTCTAACAAAATTCTATATTTAAAATAAAAGATTATATATATATGTAAAGAAAGTGTACTTTCTTCCTTTGTGATTACGCGCGCTTTCATAAGTAGGAAGGTAGTAGGAAAGGCGTTATGTGTATAAACCTAATTGGATACACAAACAAAAGAGACAAAGCAAAGATGTAACGTATATGGATCAGATGGGATATAAATAAGAGAGAAAAGACGTTACATATACAAATCAGATTAGATATTTAAAAAGGATAGATAGATTTAATAGACTAAGAAAGTRAGTGATAAAAGTGAAGAATAGACATAATTGTCGTTTTTCGTTTCAGGTAATATTATATTGTTCATTTTGTAAATATTGTATATAGGAAATAAGGTTGACATAGAAATAAATTCGTTTCAGAACAACACTTTGTGCTATTCTTGACCGTTTTGTTTGAATCACTCCTATTCTGGTCTTATATATATATAAAATCTTTGACGTAAAAAAATTAAACTAACTTTACAAATTTGACCATTCATGCAAATACTTTATTTTTGTAAAAATATCGATAAAATAACAAAATAAAGATATTAAATATAATTGATAAAAGTTTAAGTAATAAGAGTATAATCTAATTTAAATATTACTAACAGTAGTAAATGAAGTATATTAGTTTTATAAATTACCAAATTAATAATTTTTTCGATTTTGTAAATATGAAAGTAAATTTAAAAAATAAATAAAAAAATAAAAATATATTAAAACAAAAATAATTAAATATAAATTACATTTAAAGAATTTCACAAAATTTCCTTATCGCATCATTAGCAGGTATATTTAATAATGACAAATATCATTAACTAATATCTAATTAATGGTTATTTTGAAAGTTATGGTGATAGTAGAAGAGACTGAGTTTAGAAATAGACGGATTTAAGGAGGGGTTGGACTATATGAAGTAACGGATTTTATTTTTCGGCATTTGAAATGAAGCTTTCCTTCAGTTCGGGTCTTCTGATAACTTTCCAACGGATATACTTCGGGCTTTTATGATCATTTAGTATTATTATAAAAGTAACTAGAAGACAATTACACAGTRAAAATGGCACGTTCAGGATTTCAATTGATCCAGTATTTTGCAGTATTTATTGTGTTTTTAAATGATTGTTCAGCAAATGGAATAAAAGAATGGAGTACATTGCCAGTTTATGGGATGCTAGCAAACGCAGAACTATTAAATTCAACTAAATGTGGCAAGGAACTCACTGAATTTCGACAAGCCATTGATAAGCGTATATTATGGAGCWTAAGAGGTACGTGAAAGTTATGAAATATAATTTCTATTACTAGAGATTTGAAATATTATTGAAGAAAATAATTATTCATCTCATTATAAACAATATATTTCGAATGAATATTTTATTCAAACAAAAATGTACCATAACGGCCATATATTTACGTTAACCTACCAAGATCGTATTAAAATCGTTGTATATATGTTCATTCAAGAGACATACAAAAACAAATTTAAATTTGTATAAGTCCCTAGCGTACGTTATTAAATGAAAAAATAAAGGATTCTTAATTGTTCATATTTAGATAATTTTTAATATTTTTCTATTCTTAAGTAAAATTTCTTGCGGACACATACATGCGTACGTACGGAAATATTTATATTTTTATAGATATTTTCAAATTAAATTAATTTAAATAAAATTAATATGATTAGTATTTGATAGCTAAACCCTTATTTCTTAAAACCTCGACACACTTACGTTCCATAGTTTCGATAAGTCAAACGCATCGACTAACTGGTATTAAAGACCAAGCTTCTTTAACTATGGCATACAATTCGTTAATATTTTCKAGCTTTGTTTTTTTACATGTTTGTCCACATYAATTAATAACATTTTAATGGAGTTTAATTCCGGAGATTGTTCTAGCAACTTTATTAAACTAATATTTTATTACACTTAAAAGAGATTTTACAACACGTACRGTGTTTTTCTGATCATTATTCGCTTGATAAATCCAATCATGCGGCATATACTCCTCAGCAAATGGTACTRACTGATTCTTTAYAATATTTAGATAAATAAATTTGTCCATAATACCTTCGACGTGGTGAATAGGGCCCGTACCGTTTATAATCATTGCACCCCGTACCAATACCGAATCACCGCCACCTTTTACAGTAGGTCTTAAACAATATTTCTTATATTCTTCACTTCTCCGACGTCTAACATACACTTTCTCGTCAGAACTTAATTAAATAAACTTGGATTCGTCCGTAAGTATAACTTTGGACCATTGTTCGAGTGTCCAATAAATATGCTCTTTTTCGAAGGAAATCCAGGCCCTGCAATTCTTTTCTGGTATGAATGGTTTTCTACTGGTAACACGCCCATTTAATGGAAATTCATTCAGTCGTCGTTGAACAGTCCTTACACTTATTTTAGTATGTAAATTTGCAGTCATCTCTCTGTGTATATCGACTGCAGTTTTAAATCTATCACCTTCAAAGAGACGATGAACTTTTTKATCCGTTCTTCTATCATTTTTTTGAAGTCTTGACTTACAAGGAGTGTTGTCCGATGTACCATTATGTTCAATATATTTGATTGCTTAGTGACACGCCATAACTGACAGYTCCAGTTCTGCAAATATTTGTCGATATGATTTTTTACTTTTGCGAAAACGTCGTACTAATCGTCGTTGTTCTAGCGCTATATTTTATAGCTTACTCATTGCGAAAAACTTTATATCACGTCTAACTTATTCAAATTGTCGATGAAAACTAAAAATTACTGTTTATATTCTCAAAATAGCGCATTAAATACGACAAATCTCTATGTACGTAAGTAGTTGTCCGCTACGAAATCTATACATCGGAGTACAATGTTTAAAAACTGCTTTATTTTTTGGAATGCATAAAAACGCTATTGTTAGTAGATGCTTAACCATCGAAACTTCTTAGAAATAAAGCGCTGAATCAGATAGCTAAGTATAAAAAAAACATAAGAGAGTTTAAAAGTTAAAATGTACAGTGTACGTAAGTATACTGCCGCCWCTGTATATATGAGTATATGTTTGGTTATTATAAATTTTAGGCAGCAGAAATTGTAAGAATTCTAAAATCGATTGTAGCTAGCTAAACAAGATAAATAAACAATTTTTTATAGTTTACATTTATATAATGTCAGTAAATTAAAAGAATAAAAACATTTTAAGAATTGATATTAACAATATAAACAACTTTAGGAAGAAAATTTTTTGATTTTGTATAAAATTTTAGCTATGTTTTTTGCAAATGTACTTGCTGGTACTAAGATGAAATTTTCTAAAAAAAACACGTAATAGAAAGTAAACAAAGTTGTAATAATTTTATAAAACTCTATATAAAAAAAAAGAATTCATTTAAAATTGAGTTTATTTGCGACCACTTTACTGGTTTTATCATCCTAACCGGCAAATCAAAATTAAATTTGATAAACAAACGGATGATTTTTATATTTTATTTTTGTTTTGTCAAGTAATCGACGCAAGCGGCAGACCCACATCTGGATTCATTTATGGAAATAATTATTGGTTCGGTAGTAAAGACCAGTGCGAAGATGTCGAAAATAGAAATCCYTTAAGTTTATCGAAAGAAGTACTACAAAATAATTCGAAATATCGTCCCATCGAAGATGAATTTCCACCTTTCGAAGTGAAATATTTTGTCGCTAATATTCGACATAATAGYACTATGCAATATCACATTGTAGTAGATAACGAAGTAAGWTTCTATYAAAAATTAAATATAAGTGATTTTAGAAATTCAATCAAATCTTTTTATTTTCTTTTATAGGACWTAATAGTATTAGGTATGTGTTTRCCAGCATCMTGTTCRAAGGATCAACTTTTTACTCTATTAGAAATCTCCTTAAAAGATGGGACTATTCTTCAAGACGAACTATATTTAGCCCACTTTTCATTGGTTGAAGTCAGAGATCTAATCGATGACT